AGGGGATATGGAGAAGCTTACGGAATTACAATGAATTAGAACAGACAGAACTACCCATTGATGTTGCAGCTTGCTGTGTGCTCCACAATCTCTGTGAGAGCAAGGGGGAAACCTTTATGGCAGGGTGGGAGGTTGAAGCGAATAGCCTGGCTGCCGATTACACCCAGCCAGACAGCCGTGCGATTAGAAGAGCCCAGCGGGATGCGCTGTGCATCCGGGAGGTTTTGAAAGCTAGGTTCCTCAGTGAGCAGGGTAACCTGTGACTATTAAGTTTGTTTAAAGAGAACCTGAACCTGGCCCCACTAAGTTTCTTTACCCACTTACTGTTGACTATCCTCTCCAGCTACATACTCCGTTCACCCCGTCCCCCTCCTTCCAACACATGTTTAAAAATAAAAGACATGGAACTTTGTTAATGAACACCGTTTTCTTTATTACGCATTTCACGGTTAAGTGTTGAAAGTGGGATGCAGACTGTGGTGGGTAGCAGGCGTACTGATGGAAAGAACGCTTCTAAACTCGAGGAATGACAGGCTACTGCTCCTAGAGAGGTCCGCAGTGGTGGACTGGTTGTTTCAACGGAGCCTGCCACCCCTCCTTTTCGGGACTCTGCGTGTGGGGGCTATGTGACTTTGTGGCGGGGGAGGATGGTTACAGATCCCCTGCTGAGTGGCTCTGTGATCTAGGACAAGGACCGCTGCATAAGATCTCTATCCGCCCTCCCCCGCCACAAAGTCACATGGCCCCCCCATCACCGGCAAGGTTGGGTTTGGACCTGCTGCCTCTGCCTACCCCTGGGCTGCCCTCTGCAACCCCCAGTACCCGTTGGCCTTCTGCTAGGTTGCAGCCTGGGGCTTTCCAGGCTGGAGCCTTCCCAGTTCCTCTGCCTTAACCCAGCCCTGCTCCACTCAGGTACTCTGCTCAGGTCCCTCTCCCGCTACAGCCAGAGAGAGACTGTGTCAGCTCGTGGCTTCCCTAGCCTTTTATATAGGGCCAGCTGAGGCCTGATTGGGGCGTGGCCCAGCTGCGGCTGCTTCCCCAGTCAGCCTCATAGCTACTTTGTCCTGCAACAGCCCACTCCCAGGGCTGTCTTAAACCCCTCAGGGCAGGAGCAGGTGACCACCCCCCTACAATGCCGCTGTGCCCCTGATCTAGTGTCCATGATTCAATTTTATACTTACACATGCAATTGCACCTGATTTCAGACACCAGCATTTCACAAATGCACATATTACATTTAATGAGGGCATCCATAAGTAAAACCCTAATAGAAAAGTATCAATTATGACCCTTGTTAGTAGCGATTTAAATAGCATTGCCTATATATATTGGTTTGTGCCAAAGAAAGAATAAGACACAGAGATTATAACTGAACACTTCCAAACTGAAATACAGGACAAGAATTCAGATAAGGGGACTGCAGTAGGGTAACATGGAATGAGTGGTTATTAAGTAAGGATCTGTGGGAGGAGAGATGGAGAGCCTATCAAAGGTGGGAGCCTTTCCATGCAGGGCTGGGAGTGAAGCTGCAGTTCAGCAAATAATCACTCTGAGGAATAGTATAGAGAAAAAAATCTAATGTGAAATGCAGAATATGGATTTGATTCCCTTCCTATGTTGGATGCGAGTGAAAGGGCCCCTCTTTGGGGTGTTGTAATAGGATTTATGAAGTCCCTTCTCTTAGTTGGCATTTGATTTGATGCAGAATCTTCACTGACAACTGTTTCAGTTTTGGATTGGTCAGAACCAAAACAATGGGGTGTCCAGAAGGATATGCAGAAAGTAGAACTTCATAAGATAAACGGGCAGGGTTTTGAAATCTGATTGTGCCTGCCAAGATGACTATTATAGTCACAAAATATATAATGAAGAGGATAAAAAAGGAGAGCAGAGATTTCATGGCATTGGTGTGGGCTGCCACACTGAGATCTTTCAAACCAGTAACATTGTTTTTCATTTTCTTGGTGTGTTTCCATTGAGAGATGAGCAATAGGATGGATGAAAACAAGAATATGATGAAAGGGATGGCAGATACAATGATTTCCATAGGCATAAAGAAGAGATATGGGATATCCTTAGTATCATTCAAGGTTGTATTTCCTTCTGGGATTTTTCTTGAGTTGCACAGATCAAACCCAACATCAGTCCAGACTAATGGGATGGTACTGACCAAGGAAACCATCAGGGACCCCAGGAGCAGCCTTGGCACCAGCCAAGCAATTCTCAGCTTCAACCAGAGAAAGAAGGGTCGGGTGAAGTTGGCAATCTTTACAGAGTAGAAGACGCTAAGCCAGGCGGCACACCAGAGACTGACCATGTTTAGAAAATTCCACAGGATTCCGAATCCTTTGTGTTTGCATCCTAGTGCAGAAGTCCTTGGAAAAACGATATAGATGACGTTGCTCAGCATTACAATCCATTGTAGGAGAAACCTGGAGATACTCAGGGAGGTCAGAATGAGCTCACAGGAGGCCACCTTTCTGCTTTTGATCCAGCCAATGAAAATCACAACTATAATAAATCCATTTCCCAGGCTTGCAACAAGGGACTCAAGTCCCAAAAGTATCATAGAGATGAGACCAACTGGAGTAAGCATCTTTCTAACTGTTGTTTTCCAAACCTGCGGTGATTCTTCTGTTCTTGGAAAAACTGCAAAAAGGGAAATTGTGACTCTTGTGCTGGTCTGCTGGGATGTGTCTGGTAATGACACTGTTGGTTTAAGCTTTTTCTAAGGGTAGGAACTGCATTCATAGGGATGCAAATCTCCAGAAGGATTCTGTTACTGATGACCTCATCTACTGTCCATATTTATCCATTTCTTTCCAGAGTGCTGTGCCTTTTCTGTGAAAATCTTCATTTCCTTCTTCATTCCTTTAATTTCTTTCTCTTCCCTCTCCCTCTCTCCCACTTGTTTATTTTAATTGTTTGACTTCTAGGTTATCTCACTGGCAGAGCTGGGGCTAGGCATAAGTAAGATGAAGCAATTGCTTAGGGCCACAAGCAGCTCAAGCATCCCCCTTTCACTTTGTATGATAAGAACGTGCCTGTTTTAGTATTGTGTGCATGTGTGTGTATGTCGGGGGGAAGGATATTCCTGCTTAGGGGCCTCAATGGACTAGCACCAGCACTGCTCACTGGATAAGTTCTATTGGGAGCTATGCTTGAAAAATGTAATGAAACCCACAGACCCTGCTCCTTCTTCCCACCATGGTAAGAGTAAATCCTATGGAAGTCAGTGACAGTTGGTAGCATGAGAATCGGATGGACTGAAGTGGCACTGATATCATGGTGGCAGTGTATGACAATTCTAACTGTGACAGGGCCCACTAAGTTTTTGACCACCTCATGCTGTTCTGTGAGGTACAGCAGGACTTTCCTGTGCTTGGCATCCCCTATAGGTTGCCAAAATTTCTTGGTGGCTCTTCAATGGCTTGAGGCCTCCTATGGATCAGCCCTCTGTCCAAGATGCCAAGATAAAAATGAACTTCTTCTGAGGTAGCAAAAGTCCAACAAAGCTGTATATATGCCCTCACCAGGGTCTTCAGGGATTTAGCCCCCAAAAGTCAAGTGCAGAAATACTCGCCCCAAAACAGCCTGTTAAAATGTATTTAAGGTTGAGAAAGTACCAGTAATATAAAGGAAAAACATCTTTAAAAATGTTGTTATGCCTGCTCTTATAGCACATAAATCGATATAGTGTGACCTAGTGGATAGTGCAATGGATTCTAGTCCTAGCTGTGCCACTGGCCTCCTGGGTGATCTTTCACCTCTGAATGCCTCTGTTTCCCATCTGTGATATGGGAATGATGATACTGACCTGCTCCATAAAGCACTTTGAGATCTATAGATGAATATATAAGTGCTTGGTATTGTTGTCGCATGAATTTTTGCACTGTTCAGAATGGATTTTCTGCTTGCCCTATCGCAATATGTAGTTTAGCTGTGTTGAAGCTATGCTTTATCCATTTTTATTATATTAATCCCCAGATAGTCCTCAATGTAAAAAACAGGAATTACATAAAAAGGCTTGATTTTCTTTAGGCAAGAGGAACTTCCTTTAAAAGGAAAAAGGGGATCATTAGCACATTTTGAGAGTCAGAAGTAGGCAGGAAGCACTTTAATCAGTCCTAAAGGAGTCACATGACAAGAGACTTAATTTTAAAAAATCAAAAGAAAAATATGATTTAGTGGACTCTTCAAAAATAGAAAATATCTAAATATACTGAAGAGTTGAGAATCATAATTACATTAAATAATAAAACATTATTTAACATAGCCATTGTGAAAGGAAATGAAGCATTAATATCTACTAAAGCCAGATCATATGAAAGGGGAAATTACATAGAAACCAACTGGAGCACTGACATGAAGAAAGAGCTATCTGAATTTTAGAACTAAAAAACTTTTGACGGGGTGGAGTAGAGTTTTCTTCTAGCTATACTTAAATTCTTCTTGATTTGAGAATGCAGTTTTATTTTTTTTAAGTGTATTAAATCACTATATAACAAGTGTATGACTACAATTAAAAACAACAGAAAAGAAGAAGAGCTCTGTGTCTTGCTCACCATCAGAAGTTGGTCCAATAAAAGATATTACCTCACCCAACTTGTCTTTCTAATATCCTGGGAATGACACAGCAAAATGTTAGTAGGCAGAACACAAAACAATATTTTAGTGTGGGGTGGCACCCTGTTTTATTAGAGTAAGCCTTATCTACTGCATTTTCAGAAATTTAAAAATCCAGGAGTTTACTACAGTTCAAACTTAATATGGGAAGAAGCAAAATGCTGAGCTTTAAATGAGATAAGAGCAATGAAGGGCGAACACAAAGTCAATGTTCCCGTCTCAAAACTGATTAGTTATATAAACTGTTTAATACACCTCAGTTAAACAAACTATAGAAATAATTTCTATTCTAGAATAATTTATTTTTTAACATTTCTAGAGGCAAATAATATGTTAAAAATGAATATATAGCCATCTTTTTTTGAACCTCCCTTCCCTGTCATTCCAGGTAATTAAGTCATATATATTACTGAAAAAAAGTAACTCTACATGTCTAGGCGCTCCAGTTGGCAGCCACAGGCAACGTTTGTTCTTTGGGATGAATTTAATCTGACTGTAACCCTTTAAATGTGGTGTATGTTATGGTACATGTATGATGTATGAGAATGGAGTTAAGGCTTTGCACACCAGTGCACATGTGATTAATTGTATGTGTATTGGTGTGATATGCCAGGTTGGATGGCACAGATTTTAGCTGTGTTGGGGCAGAGTCTAATGCTTAATTTATAGTCCCACACATAAGTGCTGAATCACCTGCTTTGAGAATACACCCTGATGGTGCTTCTCTGTCGCTAATAGATATGGAGAATATCACTCCTGTTTATTCCAGCTCTGTTAATTTTTTGTCCATTGTTTCAATAATGCATGTGACACATGACAGACGTTACCTTATTTTGGTTGGTCTCCCCTCCTCCCAGCCACCTTTTTGCATCCACACCTTTTAAATGACCTGGAGAAAATAGTGATTTTAAACTGGGGGGAAAAAACCTCCTGGAGACAGGGAGAAATACCTTCCACCCCAGCAGACACCAGCTGTACTCTTTCCTGAGGCAAGGAAGTCCCTAATGCTGTTAACCAATCTAATCCCAACAGAACTGGCTCGAGGTCTCTATTAACCAGGAACGCTGGGCCTGCAATTTTGTCTGTGTATTGTACCATAACTGCCCCTGCCCCTGTTAGCTCTGGCCATTTGCCAGTGAATACAGTCCATAGAACTCTCATGACACTTAGCGGGGGACCTAGAAAGGTTTTTGAAAAAGGTGTTTCCATAAATCAGAGAATGCTGGTTCTGTGTCCAACTTTACCTGAATCAGAACCCTATCAACCTGTAATATAATCGAAAAAGTTTGAATATAGGAATTTCCTGAGTTCAAGATAAACAGGCAAGTCTCAGGCAAGGACAATTTTGCCTCTCCAATTCCAGATCTTCTTCATCATAACTACCTGGCTCCAAATATTGTCTCCTCCCTCCTCTTCTGTAGCTCTTTCCTATGGTGAGGGAGGATGCATATGCAGAAATTCTGTTCCATGTTGTCTGTTTGGTGCAACATACATTTGAGTAAGGTATCATCATTTCCTGCAGACCCAAAACAGAGCCAAGTAAAAATGACAAGAATTTGAATCATGTGGTCTGTTACATAAGAAGTCGATGTTCCTTTGTTATGTCCTCCCATCGCTTTGTCTTATTTATTGGTTGCTGCTGTTGTGACCATCTCTATAAAGGCAGGCTTCACCATCTTTTCTGGCCCTGACATGTCTTGACAAGTCCTGACATGTAAACCTCCTCTTCACAGAAACTGCTTTGGTTTTGAAATAGATTATTCTGTTTACCACCTATAATTAGCAAACAGTTGATACAGCGTATGCAAAATCAGTATCATTTGTTTCCTTTCACTGCAGAGCATTCTAAATGGGAGAATGCAAAGATCTATGCATGAAATGGAAATACAGTAACAGAACCTTTGCCTAACATGCAGTTCAATGCATCTGTGTTTTTCATGATTAACTGTTGGAAGAGTAAATCCAGCAGAATTTTCTCCTGGGATAAGAGCAGATCGGTTTTCTTGGGGCAATTTCCTTTGCAACCCCTAGTCTGAGGATCTGGTGATCAAAAGGGAAAACATGTCCATGCTAAGTATAATGCAAATGATTCCAGAATTAAAATTAAATGGGGTCCTATCATTAATATAGCATCTTACTGATGAGCAGACAGTTTCAAGATAAACTCTTTATTATGAATGGAAACTATCTCTAGAAATAAGATAAAAGTTCCTGCTACTTACTAGCTGCAGCCTGCAACTGCCCTGTCCTGGGTACCCTTGTTTGTGCTCCTCACAGGAAGTATGTCACAAAAAACAATGTGAAAAGTGTACAGGAAGTATGGCACCTCTACACTTCCTGAAGGACTTACTGTATAGCACATTTACTACAAATAAAATACTGAGCACTACTTTCATATAATTCATCCAGTTTCCTCTGTGTTCATTTATTTCTCTTCCCTCCCATGTATATTCATTTCTCTCTCTATTTCTTTTATTCTTTGGTCCATCCTGTCAGCTTGTGAATGGAGCACTATGACCCTAAATCAAATTCAAGTTAGGCTCAAATGTAAATTATATCTGTGACGGGTTTGGTCGCAGAGACTGTCACTAGATGTGCTGAAATTACCTCTGAGCCTATTTTCCCTGCCAGCTTGGGACCCCAGAACCCTGCCTTGTTGACTGAGTACAATACCCTGCTACAACACAGACCAGGTCTGGTCCATGCCCCCAGAGCTGCGGACTTTAATCAAAAACCGCTCAGCAGGTCACCTATCTCCACCACCCAGACATCCAGTTCCCAATGGGATCCAAGGCACAAATAAATCTGTTTTATTCTGTATAAAACTTACACAGAGTAAACGCATAATTGTCTGCCCTCTATAGCACTGATAGAGAGATATGCACAGTTGTTTGCTCCCCCAGGTATGGGTTAATTAACAAAGAAAAGTGATTTTATTAAGTATAAACATAAGTATTTCAGTGGGTTCCAGTAATAACAGACAGAACAAAGTAACTTACCAAGCAAAATGAAACAAAATACGCAAGTCTAAGCCAAATACATTAAGAAATTGTTACCGGTAAATCTCACCCTCAAAGATGTCCCAATGAGCTTCTTTCACAGACTAGACTCCTTCCTAGTCTGGGCCCAATCCTTTCCCCTGGTACAGTCCTTGTTA